GATTTTTGAGATGAGATTGAACCTACACAATACAGCTTTTACGTACACTACAAGCTTTAAAAATCTATCTGGCTTTTTTCGATAAGGTTGTTATTATAATATAAAAAGAAACTCAAGATACATGGTTGCCTGTTCATCATTTAAACTTTAACAAATATTACAGTGGACTACCAGTCAAAAGAGGTATATCTTTAACGAGAATTTTTTCTTTGTAAAAAATGGGCTTTTGTTTATGTTAGCAGCGGAAAAAATCTGTGACATATACGTGCAATCATCAAAGTATTTTTCAGTACAGTTTTTAAATGTTTATATGAAGAATATATATATCAATTTCCTTTCATAGGCAAAAATTTTGCCTAAAACCACATTAATCCAAAGGTTGAAGTCTATTTTCATTTTTCACGAATATTCGATTTGCCCGTAATATATGTTTCTAATTTATTTTAGAAGAGTAATCTTTCACGTTTTCAAAAGAAGAATGCATACTGGGTGTTGACCTTACAGTGTAGTAAATCTGTTGTCATATTTCCTTTGCCAGTAATGAAGCGATTGCCCTGGAATCTTTTCACAAAGCAAATTAAAAAAACTGTTTTACGCCAACTTTTGCACACAGTATCTTCTCAATGTATTTTTTAAAAGTGTGAAATTTTCTCTTTGACAAATAAAAAACATGAATGGGCAAACTTAATTCATGATACAAACTTTTGAAATGTATAATTCCTCGTAATATAAAATATGGAGAATATGGCATACAAGCTTTTTATTCACAAATAATCCCCGCATATGCCAATTTGTATGTACTGGTCGATTGGGAATTATATATGAAATAATGTCCGATAGAAATAATAAACCAGTTATTTCAATACTTTTTCTTTACAATTTTTTAAATATGGGCCCTTCAGTATAGCGGTAAAGGTGTTTGAACACTTGTAGCTCGCTCAGGTTTGAATCCCTTCTAACGGTTTGATCCTGTTTTTGTGTATGTAATATAAGCCAGCTTCCCTTAGAAAGTCCTTTCGCGAAAGCATCCCTTCCTTTATACGGTAATTGTTTGTGTGCTTTTTGATGTAATTCTAAGCGAACAAAAGTATCCATCAAACCCAGAGAACAGGTTGAATGTCATGTGGAGTTTTTCTATCAGGAACTTAATGTGATCAATTTCTCTTAAAAGGTTTACACAAAGCAATCCGCGCCGTAAGCAATAGCATTTGCATGCTTTTTCTCCGTAATCCAATCCTAATTCTCATACATTAATCTCATTAGTGCACCTTATTCAGGCAAAATAACACTTTTTTTTCAAGATATTTGTTTATTAACTGGTCCGAATTTCCTTTATCCTCTTGAAGGAGTATAAGAATTTAAGCAATAAAACTGGCCGAAATTTTTACAATTTAACAACTGATGTTTTGATTCAATTTAGAAGTAACACGAGCTTTACTGATATTTAAAAATATTTTTAGCGTACCTCAATCCTAAAAGAGAGTTTAAGTAAATTGATTTTATTTAATTTACAATCAATGAAAATATTGAAAGCATCATTGAATGATGAAAATCACAAAAACTATTGGCTGCATATACAATTGTCTCTATTTATCTCCTGATAAATCAGAAAAATTGCCTACATACTAATAAGCAACTGTGAAAGAGTTAACAGTGCTTAATGGTTTTATGTCCTTCCTCCCCCAAAAAAAGGGTAAAATAACATCTTATTATTCATACTTATAAAAGAAAATAACAATAAAGCAGTTTTACTTACGTATTTTCTCGAAGGGCATTAAAATCTAACATATTAATCTAAATCTTATTTGCTATTATAAAAAGCATTAAATCTGATAATTTTAACAGCCTGCAAATCAACCGACGTTTTAATCATAGCAAAAGTTTTAGTAACGAGAGCACTGTCAATAATTTTTAGTTAGCAACTAAAATTATTAGACAGTGCTCTACGTTTGAGAAAGAGATGGCTTTATTTGATTTTTAAGTATATTAGTGCGAGACGAACCTGCAGTTTGCCAAAATGTAGCCAAACGATCAGAAGAAAGAAAACATGTGTACCAGCGCTATTCTGAGCAACGACAATGGACCACCAGAGATCTACAGATAGGCGATTCTCTAAATAGGGAGGGGATGACTGGTAATGACAGTTGTAAAACCACAGCCGGCATTAAAACAGAAAAAAAAAAAAAAAAAAAAGTCATTTTCCTGGTACAATCGCTGTACTGCCGGTTTTAGGAGGTTAACTATAATTCATTTACAGTTCTTGATTTTTCCATTTCGTTGAGGTCTGAAAGGGAAACATAATTTGGAATTGACATTTTTGAGAACGATTGCAGCATGGGAAATCAATCCTTGCATCCTCAAAATTCTGATGCATTCTGAAGCCATTTCAATACACCCATAAATTCTAGGACAAAAATTATGAGTGCAGCTCCAGAGCAATTAGAAAAATTCTTTTCTTCTGATTACAGCTCTGTCAACAGAATTTTCTACTGTCTCTGTCATGAGATCTGGTAGCCAGCTGTCCACTACTGACCTGCAGGCAACTTGCTTGCAAATGTCAGAAGAAATTTAGAAGCTCTTATTTAATAACTTCTGCCTCCACTGGGAAAAACCCTCGATAAATGGTAAATAACTAGCAGACTGGAACTTCTGGGGGAAAAAAAAAAAAAAAACTCTGTGAACCTCTAGTTTTCAGAGCGAACCAATGAGCATCTTCTTTGAAATTATTTACGTATAGCTTAGAATTTTAAATTAATTAAATACACTACTTTGCTTTGTGTCAACTAGTTACAACCAGCAGGTTCTTATTCCCACCAATGTATTGCTCAGTACATTTTAAGGCCTGTACGATATGAACGTGCTCCAAACAGACATAATAGCGAGAGTAGTTCTTGACAGACAACATCAGGTGGGCATTATCCAAGAGACTTGACATTGTTACCATTGCAATCTCTCATATGGGATGGAGGCTCCATAAGGATTTTAAAAGGTTCTTCCAAATTATAAAGCAATTTAAAAACAATACAATTCTTAATAATTTATTTAATATACCTAATTGATATTACCGCTTATTCTTACAGCAAAAGTCGTTAATTTCGGACACCCATAATCCGGACCTCACGCTAAAACTTCTGCGCGTCGCTAAGACCTCGTACGACTGGTGCAATGCTGTGCAACCAACCGCAGAATACATTTTCGCGTGGCGCGTTTTATTTATAACGGATGGTATAGGCTACAAAAATTATCTTAATTGTCTATTTCATTAGTGATGATTGCATTGTTCTTAATTTTCGAATTGGATCCGCTTATTCTTTTTGTAGACTGTAAGAGCAATCTATAAAAGTAACTTGAACTTTCGATTATGTCCAAATAGAATTCGATTCTGGACTCCCAAAGGATCGTACAAAACGAAGTATGTTTCGATGTCCATCAAACAAAGTGGAATTGCTGCTGCAAAAAATAATAACGACATGAAAAAGAATTTGACAGAGAGGTGTGTGAAAAACGAAAAATTTCGATGACAAGTTTAGTCGGTATCTCTCGCACAGCATTAACGGGACTTGGAAACATCAGAACTTGTAACTGAACAAAAAATTATTCTGTTTATAGACGTAAAGAGAAAGTAATTATCACATAAATGAAGCAACTTAAAAACTTACATTGAAGAAATGTTTAATACAGTAAACAAATAAATATTAAGCTTTTTTTTTTGTAAAATTTTGTTACCACCCTTTAGATCCTAATGTTCTTTAATTTCATAAATTACGGTTCCTCTTTTTAATTTTTAAATTTTGTCTGCATGCCATCTTACGCGATTTAAATTGATGATCTATAATCCGGAATCGCCGAAGTCCCGACGAGTCCGGATTAACGACTTTTGACTGTAATTATTATGAACACCTGTAGCATTACAGAATCAACTGAAGATATTTCGGTACTTGTAATATGTGATCTACTACTTTAAGTTATTACCTTATTATTGCCACCACCTTAGAAAAAGTCACCAAACTCGGGCAACCATATCCACTGTAAGGTGCAATCTGAAAATTCACCTAATTACCTTTTTCTTTTTCTTCTATTAAACATCTATAAGGTGGATGTGCTAATACAAACATACCTTTTCAATGGCAGCATTAAAATTGGCTGTTGTTTCAGTAATTTCTTTTTCTCGCCATTTCATTGCATATTTGAATTTAAAAGTAGCATGATGTAAGAAGTAATAGTACTGTTCTGTTATCAAGACTGGATTCAGAAATGCGAGTATATATGGATGGCTGTGTTCATGTATGCTTATAGATATACCCACATACATCCATTTCTGAATCTGGTTTTGGTAACAGACGAGCACCAACTTAATCAATTGAAAGCAATAAATCATGTACTATATGAATATCAATATTTATAATATCAATAAACTAAATGATATATCTGTACAGACCTATCATTTAGTTTTTATTAGAAAATACCTAATGCATTTTTAATTTTACTGAATACTCACCATACTTAATGCACATAAAAATGTCCTCCACCCAGTCATCTGTTGCACAATGTGGCTTTTTCAAACAAGCATTTTGCTTCTGAATTTCTTATCAATAAAACTTTAATAATTATAATCTTTGGAGCTACAATTTGACATAACATACTTAGTGCATTTGATATTCTGATTTAGTCTGAGATTCCTACAACAATATATTTATATTAGTAACTTAACATTCAGTAACGAAATGCTTATGATACCTCCAGACAACCTTAAGTCTTTGTTCTTTTTGAACTAGGGGTAATTTTTCTTTTCCTCCCTAATGATTTTTGTAAAGCAATCAGTGCTAATCCAATTAAATGCCATTTTTTTTATTAACTAATGCAATAAAAAATATAAAATTTTCCTTTATCTTTTATCTCAATAACAGCAAGTATTCCGAACATTTCAATTTTAACTGGATTATGATAACAAAAAGCATATACAAGAGAGAATGAGAAAATAATTAAATGACACAATTACATTTCACATCAAACTTCTATATTTTAAACTAAGAAAATGAAATACATTGCAGCAAGATGAAAGGCGTGTTCGCATTACAGTAAACTAGTAATTTACACATTAATATTACATTAAGAAATTCATCAAAAACACATTTCATCAATTCATACAGAAGATTTAGTTTATTTGGAAAATGTAAGATAAGTGAACATGGATTACTCACTCTTTCAAAATCAAATAATGCCAAGTTATTAATGTGCAAAGTTAAATATTAATTGCATAAAAATGAAAAATTATTTTTTCTTCATACATTTCTGAAACTACAATAAATGTGCTTAATTACATAAATTCACTTTCTCTTTGATGAAATGAACATAGAAGACATGCAATAATTATTTATTAGAAGCTATGATTTAAAGTTTTAACAAAACAAATAAATGATCAATAGAATGCAAAAAATATTAATCATCTATTTAACTCAATACTGTGAACATACTTTTTTTTTAGCTATCAAATATAGTTATTATTGTATTACTTTAAATAAATTACACTTTTCTATTCTTACTATTTTATTTTAAACCATATTTATGATAACATTTATTGAAAAAGATGTAATATTACAGTAACCCTTCTTTTCTTTGATCAACGTATTCTTTTTTAAAAAAGTAAAAAGCATTTCTGTTTTCTGTAACAGATTCCAATACTTAAGTAAATTATGCATCAGAATCTGAACCTTCAATGTCACTGTTGTAACTGCTTTTCTTTGGTCGAATTTCTGCAGTTGCTTTTTTTCCATCTAATATACGAAATGTATCAACATCATTATCACTATCTTCCTTTATAACTGAACGTCTTGGACTTTTGGAAATTGACCGTTTTTCTGAAGTTGGTGATAAGGATTTTTTGCTTGATCTTGATCTTCTCTTATCACTATGTGATTTATGATATCTTGAGCTACTAGGTGTAACTGACCTCTTAGATGAACGCTTGCTTGATTTTCTTGGAGATCTTGAACGATCTCGTGACTTTCGATCACGTGAGCGATTATATTCTGGGCTAGATGATCCATCAGATGGTGACCAACTCGATCTTCGAATTTTCAAACTAGGAGATCGTGAGCCTTTCCGTTCTTTTGGAGAAGATCGCAATTTACTTGAAGATTTACGTTCAGATCTGCTAGATGGTTTACTTGGAGTTGTTGATCTAGATCTGCTTTTTGCCTTACGTTCAAGTTTCTCACTCTTTTTTTCTTCATAATATTCTTTCTCTGAGTGTTGAACATTTACTTCAGGAACAGACTCCGCACAATTTTCAGAACATGGTAAGTTTGCAACATTCATTTCACTTAGTTTACTACTTCCAACCTCAGGTTCATCACAAGGAACATTTATTGGCTTTTCTTCATAGCCAACAGAGGATGGTTTTGATATATCAAGGGAAGGTTTATGATGCTGATCATCATCATCATCATCATCTTTATTTGGTGATAATTTATTCTCCAGATTCTTCTTTTTATCCAGTGAAGGTTCCCTAGAAGTTGATCTTGAACGTGTACTTCTTTTTTTTGAACTTCTTTTTTCATCAGTTTTTGAACGCGATTCTTTTCTCTCTGAACGCGATGATTTACTTCTAGAATGCGATCTTCCACTTCTCTTTGGAGACAAATTACTTCTGGATCTTGATCTTTTGCTTCTTTTAGAGTGCACAAGCCGGCTTCTAGAACGTGATCGCCCATTTCGTTTAGAATGAGATAGCCTACTTCTAGAGCGAGACCTCTCACTTCTTTTGGAGCTTGATAATGCACTCCTAGATCGAGACCTAGCACTCCTTTTAGAACGTGATAAAGGACTCCTGGAACGTGATCTAACGCTTCTTCTTGAACGAGAATGCCTGCTTGTAGATCGAGAACGACGGCTTTTCTTACTGCGCTTGCTTTTTGATTCGCTACGCTTGGATCGAGATCTTCTGCTCCTAGATAAAGAACGATCACTTCTTTTAGATCGCCTTGTTTTGCTTCTTGAGCGAGAACGCTTTGGTTTACTTCTTGAACGAGAGCGCCTGATCTTGCTTCTTGAACGAGTGCGCCTGATCTTACTTCTTGAACGTGACCGTCTTATCTTGCTTCTAGAACGTGATCGATGGGATACAGAACGCTTACTTCTAGAGCGAGACTCTCGACGCCTCGAAGAGGACCTTTTTCGCTTAGCCCGAGACGATCTATCTCTGGAACGTGATCTTCTTGATGGAGAACGCCTTGATGCAGAGCGAGAACGCCTTCTAGAACGAGATGATGAACGCCTTCTTGAGCGGGAAGAACTTTTCGCACCACTTATTTCTGGTTCAACAACACGTGCTATCAAACTTTCAGCTTCTTTTAATCGCTTCATAGCTTCTTCGGTATCCTTCTCTGAGATAACTTCAGATTCTTTTGGTGGCTTTACAATAGCTGAACTGGAATGTTTAATCTTTAGTTTATTGCCTTTTAGTGTTATTCCATCACACTGAAGTGCCTTCACAATTGAATCCCGATCAGTGAACTCAACAAATGCAGACTGAGTCAAATCTGACTCATGACCAGCCATTCGAAGATATTTAACTTCTCCAACCACGCCATTTATAAAATCAAGCAACTGATTAGCTGTTACCTGTGGACTTATATTTTCAATGTAAACAGTTCTTCTTATTTCCTCAATGGTATTAGGGTCATGGTCTGCAGATAACGGTGGATATTGAGGCAATCCTAATATATCTAAGTTTGAATCAACAGAAGTAATTACCAAATTTCCATCAACAGCTGCAATATCATTACTAACATCTTTAAATCCAGAAGATAATAAACCTGGTAATGCTGATGCAGGATTCATTAAATCAAAGGCTGTATTATCCTCACTTGGTATTGTATCTCCTGGTATAGCAACCACAACAAGAGCACGATCTATAAATACAGTATTTGTTAAATGCAATGCAACACGAACACTCCAAGATTCTGCATACTTTATGTAGCACACTTTAAACTGGGGCTGTGAAACAGTTATAGTAGGATACATTTTGATATCTTTTATTTTTCCCATATAACCAAACAATTTCTTCATCTGTTCCAAGGTAGCAAGGTTAGACACATTACTAACCTGCGCTATAAGAGGTACGTCATCTGCCATTCTAACAAAATCGGATTAAGGAAGTTCAATTTATACGAGTATTTTTGGCTCAAAATATTGAGAAATAAATCGCTGTTCGATTCTCTAGATTTTTTTAATCACAAGTCAAATTAACAGTGTCAGCTTTCTATGGTTACTAAAAAAAAACTGATTTTGTTTTCTTTATATACTGGAAACGTCCTATCCACAATTATACTTCTGGCGGCATTTTGAAAAGCATTCACTAAAGAACAAATAAACAAAAGTTCTCTTGATTTGACATATAACTCAATATCAAAAAGATATAAAAATCCTCAAATGATACAAATCGAAAGCTTTAATTTACTTAAATTATTATATAATTACATTAAATGTGATTTTCAGTTACCTCTACTCAAGCCATTCCACTAACTCTATGCCATTCCACTAAAAAGTGAATGCCATTCTTGTTTCAGAAACTTAAGCATATATAATGCAGCAATTTTAATGTGTAAAATACAATAAAAATGCTAAAAATTCATTGGAAATAAGGAAGAAGACCTTAAAATTTAAAAATACGAATGGTTTTCAAACGAATGTATGATAGAATACAACGCTCGAAGCTTATTATAGTGCTTCTGGAAAGTCTTACGCTAGAAAATTTCTTTACAGTAAAATATTTAAATAGTTGCTCAGTTATTCAGAATGTATGAAACACTTCCATAAGATTCCTTGTTTATATTACCGAAACGTAAAACACTTTCCGTTCCATAAAAGCTATAGAATATTTGCATGGCTTTTATAAAATGGAACAGCATCTCTGAACATACAAAGTTGTATTACAACCTCGAAAATTCCTTAATCGACTTTTTCCGCCGGGCTTAAAGATTTAGTTCGTGCAAAATAAGACTGATGCTTGTTTTCTGTTGATGCAGACATATTCTAAGAGATATGAATACTGTCAGGTACTTTCAATTTAAAAGATTAACGACTTTTCATATTCTGCAAAAGTCGTGCATGTCTGCCCAGAGTAAAAAGATTTTTAACACTACACCTATATAAGCGTCGTAAGCACCTTTGCTGATACAAGTCACTCTGCATCCGAAATTAAAATGGCTCAGTTTTATTTTGACAAAGTGAAAGAATACAGAAACGCTTCGGAAGATGTCGCTTTTGAAGACCATCGAAGTTATTTATTGTCTGCAATAGCGTCTTTAGTAGGTCTGCCTATCTGGGGAAAAAGAAACTATTATAAAATAGGCTTAGCTGATCATAAAATAAAAATATCAATTGTAAAAACACAGCTTCAAATAACAAATTTATGACCATTAAACAATCTTTATTCGAGTGAAACCGATAACCTTTCCTGAATGGATTTTCCTACGAAGAGATCTTAGGTACTTTTGAAACAAACTGTAGGAATTGGTTGTGGCAGATCGATTAAGATTATCCCAATGTCTTTAGAAGGGATCCTGAATTTGAAAGGAAAAAATGAGTCCTAGAACTAGAGAGAAACCGGAGATGAAAGGGGGCTCGGCGCGGGCGAGCCATCTAGCGTGAGCGGAACACTTCGTTGGGCTGTTGGTGCCTGTCTATTGGAACCGGTGAACAGAAGGGGGGGGGAGGAAAAGCATAGGGAACGGGGAGGAAGGGGGGACGAGCGGCGGTCGGGGAAGAAGCAGACCGGACAAGACTGGAGCCGTAGCGCAGCCCGCCCGGAGAGGGTGCCTGGGGAGAGATTAAGGAAAGGGGACGGAGAGGAAAGGGGGGGACCGACAGCAAGTAGGGAGGGGGCGGGAGGGGAACCGGGGGGAGGGCCAGATCGGAACCGGGGGGAAACGGAAAAGACGGGGAGGAGGAGATATGGGACGAGACAGAGAAGGAGACATTGAGAAAGCGACCAGAGCAGGTCGGAGGGAGTGCTGGATGGTTGGGAAAAGATAGTATGGTATTGGGGAGGAGGCAGGAAGATAGAAGGGAATTGGGAGCTGAAGGAAGAACACACGGGGAACGGGGAGCAGAACGAAAGAGGGCGGAGGTCCAGGCCCGCCGGAAAGGGACGGGGTTGAAATAGACAAAAAGGTGGAAGTAGAAGGGGGAACGAGAAAAGGAATGACAAAGGTGGGGAAGGAAGTGACAGGAGGGGAAGGCCAAACGAAAAAACCAAAGGAGGGGGGGGGGATGAAGGGGAACAAACGGCCAACAATAATGATGATGGGTGGGGGTAAAAAAAAAAAGCTGGAGGAGTACTAAACGGTGAGATCAGACATTTTCAGACAGGTAAACCGGATGGGGAAGCCATGGTTGGCAGAGGAGAGGCGAAGGCAGTGGAGACGAGGGGTGGCCGTTGGGTTGAGGCCGAGCCCGAAGCCGTTCAGAGGGAAAAGACGATGACATTTGTGGGTAGGGTGGCGGGTTGGGAGGAAGGGTGTAGGGGGCGTGAAGAGGAAAGGGTCGCCATGTGGTGGTGTGGGGTGGGGGGTTTCCCAGACTGGCTGTAAATAACTAATTTACAGTTAATTTGGAAGTACAAAAAAATTGTGGATCATTTGGTAATTGCCATGTATTAATCATGATTTAGTGTGTTATTTGGTAAAAGTAGTTTAAACTAGAATTTATTTTTGTGTGATATGATTTAAAGCATTTACTACATAAAGATACACTTTTTTTTACATATATTCATTCATATTATATGATTTTATGATATGTTCCCATTAGACAGTTTTTAATTTTGCTGTATTGATAATATACTATTTAGCAGGAGTATGGCTTTTTGCTATATTGATAATATATCTGGCAAGAAAATATTTGCTAAATCTTCTAAGAAGATGCCGCCAAATTGAGATGTTGTTTACATGTCTTAGGCTTGGGCATGTCTTTTGATGATGTAATATTGGTTGTGTAGAGATTCTTATTTGAAGAAAATTTAAATTATATTTTAACTGAGTTGAAATGTTAGGTTTATAATGTTATTTGCGCGAATTTTTTTATTCCAGATCTTTATAATGGTACCGTGTGAGATTTTATGAATCTACTTGTGTACTATTGTTAACAATTAACACAAGTTAATTTCAAAAATCCATTATTAGAATTTACAAAACAATTGAAAATATTGAATTAATGATTTAAAATTTATAACCGTAACTGCTCATAACAAAGAGAAGAGTTGAAGTAAGCATTGAATTACAAGGCCTGTTCAAAAGTATGTAGCTTATAATGAGTAAATTTAAATTGAGCATCTGTGGTTTTGAAATTCTATTTATGTAGTTGGATGACTTGCAGGAATGATTTTATATGATCTGAGTTATGAATAACTAATCATAGTAAGACAAATAGGTTGAAGCCATGGATGGTGAGTCATTTTTCAGAAATAATAAAAGCAAATGTATTGCCTGGATCATTTGCGATTTTTAACTCTGCCTGTAAAATTGTTCATCTGCCAAAGTGTTTGAGATCGTACCAGATATATTCGCCCAAAGCCAATGATTGAAGGTAAGTTTTATTTATTGTTATTGCCTAAAATGAATATCAGATACAAGCCAGATTGGGGATATTCATAGTTGACGACACGTGTACATAGTAAGCGTTAAATGTTGATATTTTTCATTTTATTGCAAACTTTACTTTTTTTTAAACTCGAATTTATGAAGCTGTGTAAAGTTTCTCTTTTGGTCATTTGCTCTGTGTTTCTGATTGCTATCTGTTATTTTTAAATTGACCTATTTAAAAATTTTTAAAACAGGAACCTTCTTAAATTTTCTTTACGTGGGAATGTGTGTTGAAGTTGCAACTGTTTTAGGAAAATCGTGATCATGGCTGATGCTCAGTGGCAAGACTGTGCCCAATGCCGAGACAGTGTTGCCAAAAAATTTTCAACTAAAGTAGCAAAAGAACACTAAAAAAGTCACAAATGATATCAACGATCATGTGACTTGTCACCTCATAGTTAAGCATGCTCACATGGCCTCTATTGGTTCTGTAAGTTACAGATTGTATTTGATTGCTAGTCTTTTTAATTTATTTTAACTTTAACAGAAATTTTAAAGCTATATTGCTCATTTTCAATTGTTTAAATAGCCATATTTCCTTTAAATAAATTCTCATTTAATTTAGGATTTTCTATGTTATAATGTGATATCCATTCTAAGACATTCTTATCTTAAACATTCGCCTCACGGTAGACTGTTAGTGCTTCTTCTACACTATTGGTTTTGAGTTGGCATTAAGTGTCTCCCCCCCCTTATTGTGAACTTTATGCTTTTCAGTGAGTTTTTTCATTCTGTGTGGTGGATCTGTTCAGATTTTGATTACTTAAGAAAATCTTGTTCTTTCACTGTTAAATTTATTTGTGTTGCTATTCAGAAAATTTGCTTTGATTTTTCCATTACTCGGTTTATATCAATAGTATAATCAGGACTATGAATTTCATTTCCTGAATCATTTTCATTTTCTGAAGGTGCCCAATAATATGACACGCAAGTTGCAAGTTCTTTGGTTTGATTCATTATCACCATTGAACTGGGGGGAAACTGACTTCAAAATAAATCTCACGGGGGCGAGGTAGGGTGGTGAAAGGTCTCGAAGCATTTTTTTTTTTTTTTTTTTCCTTCTTAATGATGGATGTCACAAAAAATTTGCATAAACACAAATATTAAAATTTTAGTAACATAAGCTTGTGAAAAGTTGCAAATTTGCAAAAAATCGCACGATCTGGCAACACTGTGTCGAGATTGGGTGCAATTCTGTCTCTATTTTATTTAAACAAAAACAGATAACTGTGTGCAGGGAAAGAACAATTCTATTATATATTGTATATTATGTGTAATGTATGATTTTTTTTATTTTTAATTTCTACTGACATATTAATTGTAAATTATATTTGTAATCATCATTTTTGTATTTTAAATTGGGTGAGTTTGTTGATCATGGTGATTCCCAGGCAATCAGCGACTAAGGGTTTTAACCTATAGTTGGCTGGTGCAATATGCGGTAATTTTGTAATAAGTGCTGATTAGCTCCGCCACACAGGCGAAAAGTTAATGCATTTTTGAGCTGGTGAGAAATGATGCAGTAACAGGAAGAAATGAGGAAGTTTCTGTTCTGTGTTGCCCTTGTTCAGTAATTTTTTCGCATTATTATTTTAATACCATAGTGTTTGTTATTGTAATTGCACTCAGTTTTATATTTTCACTTGAACCATTGCCGTATTATTATTTATTTATTTATTACAAATGCCCAGATGCTATATGCCCCATATTATATAACGTTCATGTTTTTTATTTCTTATCTCCTTTCTTTATTGTGAGAATTAGATAGTTTCCGATTACTGTTGAAAACATAATGCACAAATGGTGGCACAGTCAAAGATCTTAATCGGACTCTCGACTTCGGGCGATTCCGGAGTATCGATTTTCCGGATATAGATCATCAGTTTTTAAATCTGGTAGTG